ATATTTTCGTACATACGTGGATACGGCCCTTATCTGGAGCCCTGTATAAGAACCAAAACCAAAGACTGATATGGTATATCGAATCTACACTTTATACAACTGCTCAAGTCAGCCAACATTATGAACCGCACCCAGCTCGTATCACGGTTTACAGTTTCGAGGGTGATTTGTTGAGAATAACGTCAGTCAGTTTGTTCATGATATCATCATCCAGTCCATAGCAATGACACTGGCTATTGTTCACAGGTATTTGTTGTGATTGTAAACGGAACTGCAGACCACTACAAGACCTTGAATGGGGATCCCTAACGTCGGTCAATCGCCACACAGAGGACAATGTCAAGACTGGATGTCATGTGCTTTGCTCCACCAGATGCACAAGAAATATGGCTCATGCTGGCAATATTACAGGACCATGGATATGGGGAAGATCGGAGACATTCTCCTTTGGTTCTTTTATAAAGCAAATCCCATGCTAAACAGTGTTTCCCCATTAAACATGTAAAGGATCTCATGTTGATAGATTTGTGGTGTATTTCCATTGGATACGCTTTGTCTTGAAAATATCAGTTGTATAACCAGTGATAACCTATAACCGAACAGCATGTTTCTGCACGGCGGAGTGAGGTCTGGTGGTCATACTATGGGGCTGTTTGTTGAGGTGGTAAAGTCTGGTTGTCTGTTGATGGGTAAGTTGTTGTCTGATGGGATGGGTAAGTTGTTGTCCGATGGGATGGGTAAGTTGTTGGTTAACTGTTGGGATGGGTAAGTTGTTGTCTGGCTGTCTGATGGGATGGGTAAGTTGTTGTCTGATGGGATGGGTAAGTTGTTGTCTGATGGGATGGGTAAGTTGTTGGTTGTCTGTTGGGACGGGTGTTTTCGTTGTCTGATGGGATGGGTAAGTTGTTGTCTGACGGGATGGGTAAAGCGTCTGTTGCGATGGGTAAGTTGTTATCTGGTTGTCTGTTGGGATGGGTAAGTTGTTGTCTGGTTGTCTGATGGGATGGGTAAGTTGTTGTCTGATGGATGGGTAAAGTTGTTGTCTGATGGATGGGTAAGTTGTTGTCTGATGGATAAGTTGTTATCTCGATGGATCGGTAAGTTGTTGTCTGGATGGGATGGGTACGGTTGTTGTTGTTGGATGGGTAACTTGTTGTCTGATGGGATGTGGTAAGTTGTTGTCTGATGGATGGGTGTTGTTGTCTCTTTGGGATGGGTAAGTTGTTGTCTGGCTGTCTGTTGGGATGGGTAAGTTGTTGTCTGGTTGTCTGTTGGGATGGGTAAGTTGTCTGATGGGATGGGTAAGTTGTTGTCTGATGGATGGGTAAGTTGTTGCCTGGGATGGGTAAGTTGTTGTTCTGGTTGTTGGGATGGGTGATGGGTCTGTTGTCTGTTGGGTCTGGTTGTCTGTTGTCTGATGGGATGGGTCTGTTGTTGTCTGTTGGGATGGGTAAGTTGTTGTCTGTTGGGATGGGTATTATGTTGTCTTGTTGTCTGTTGGGATGGGTAAGTTGTTGTCTGGTTGTCTGTTGGGATGGGTAAGTTGTTGCTGTTGGGATGGGATAAAGTTGTTGTCTGTTGGGATGGGTAAGTTGTTGGTCTGTTTTGGTCTGTTGGGATGGGTAAGTTGTTGTCTGGGTTGTCTGTTGGGATGGGTAAGTTGTTGTCTGGTTGTCTGTTGGGATGGGTAAGTTGTTGTCTGGTTGTCTGTTGGGATGGGTAAGTTGTCTGTTTTGTCTGTTGGGATGGGTAAGTTGTTGTCTGGTTGTCTGTTGGGATGGGTAAGCTGTTGTCTGTTGGGATGGGTAAAGTTGTTGTCCGGTTGTCCGTTGGGATGGGTGTTGTTGTCTGTTGGGATGGGCAAGTTGTTGTCTGGCTGTCTGTTGGGATGGGTAAGTTGTTGTCTGGCTGTCTGTTGGGATGGGTAAGCTGTTGTCCGTTGGGATGGGTAAGTTGTTGTCTGCTGTCTGTTGGGATGGGTGTGTTGTTGTCTGCTTGTCTGTTGGGATGGGTGCTGTTGTCTTCGTTGGATGGGTAAGTTGTTGTCTGTTTTAGTCTGTTGGGATGGGTGTTGTTGTCTGGTCTGCTGGGATGGGTAAGTTTTCTGGCTGTCTGTTGGGATGGGTAAGCTGTTGTCTGTTGGGATGGGTAAGTTGTCTGTTTTGTCTGTTGGGATGGTGTTGGTGTCTGGCTGTCTGTTGGGATGGGTAAGTTGTTGTCTGTTGGATGGGTAAGTTGTTGTCTGCCTTTGTCTGCTGGGATGGGTGTTGTTGTCTGGCTGTCTGTTGGGATGGATAAGTTGTTGTCTGTTTTGTCAGTTGGGATGGGTAAGAGTTGTTGTCTGTCTGTTGGGATGGATAAGTTGTTGTCTGTTTTGTCTGTTGGGATGGGTAAGTTGTTGTCTGGTTGTCTGGTGGGATAGGTAAATTGTTGTATGGTTGTGTGGCCCGTTGGTAGTCCAGTGGCGCTGCTGAGTTGTGTTGTCTAAATGGGTTATCTGGGTGGGTTGTCTCTAAGTGGGTTTGCTATATGGGGCGAGTAGATTGGTGGAGTACCCTTGTATGTTTGATGGATGGTACAAAGATAGCGGAGACTAGTGCATGAGGACCCTACTTCACCAACAGCTGTGTTCAGTCCAGCTGGATTACAAGCCTGCCAACTACAGCCTCCCCTTGTTCAGATCCACCATGTCGCCAGCCGCAGGAACTCCTCCCATGCCGACTTTGTCACAGTCAAACTGATGAATGTCCTCAAAACCAAGGATCCGGTATTCGATAGTGTCGAAGGTGCACTCGATCCTCATGGACCTCAAGAAAGCGCTTAACTCCAAAGATACACTATGGACATCCTATAGAGGTGGGTGAACTGTCTCCTCAAGCAACCTAGGATATCGTGATGTTAAGTGTTGTACTGTCAGTTAGCATTGGAAGCCTGCTTCTACCTTAACATGTGATGAAATGGACTTGAGTGTTACTTTGGTCTAATTTTGTGGTCTTCCAACACAAACTCAACAGGCATAATGGTTTATCATCAATGCTGATGTTGTCATTGTAGATGGTGTGTGTGGTGCCGTGGGAAGCCAGCTTCTGCTTACAGTGGTGACTGCAGCCTCACCCAGGATTCTCTCTATCATTCCTGTGACTGGATCATGATTGATCCCAGCAGCTTTTGGAGTATCAGCATGAAGGAAGCTGGTGTAAAGCTCGAGCAACTGTGCCCCTTCACCATGATCTGTCTAGGTGAGTGCAGGTGCTTGTTGTGGAGGGATGTCTGTGTTAAGTGTCATGATCAGTCTAGGTGAGTGCAGGTGCTTGTTGTGGAGGGAGAGGTGTGTTGAGTGTCACTGTGCCCTTCACCATGATCAGTCTAGAGTGAGTGCAGGTGCTTGTTGTGGAGGGAGGTCTGTGTTGAGTGTCACTGTGCCCTTCACCATGATCAGTCTAGGTGAGTGCAGGTGCTTGCTGTGGAGGGAGGTCTGTGTTTAAGAGTCACTGTGCCCTTCACTATGCGATCAGTCTAGGTGAGAGTGCAGGTGCTTGTTGTGGGAGGGGTGTCTGTGCTGAGTGTCACTGTGCCCCTTCACCATGATCAGTCTAGGTGAGTGCATGTTGTGCAGTGTTCCTATGGCGCGAATCAGTCTAGGTGAGTGCAGGTGCTTGTTAGCTGGTGTGCCTTTGCCTGCCATCAAAAGTATCATTGATTTTCCCTACTTTACCAGGTGTGGATGAATATGCATCAGTCGGTATCAATGTGAGGACCGCATCATCATGGGAATCCCTCTGGCACGCTGGCTACAAGTACAGCTGTAAGGACTTCAAGTTTGTAAGTGGATGAGCAACTGTTGCAATACTTACCTCTGTATGTCCAGTTGTCTTACTGGCTAGATGATTACATGACTAGAAGAGCAACTGTTGCAATATTTCACCTCTGTATGTCCAGCTGTCTTACTGGCTAGATGATTACATGACTAGAAGAGCAACTGTTGCAATACTTTACCTCTGTATGTCCAGCTGTCTGACTGGCTAGATGATTACATGACTAGAAGAGCAACTGTTGCAATACTTTCACCTCTGTATGTCCAGTTGTCTTACTGGCTAGATGATTACATGACTAGAAGAGCAACTGTTGCAATACTTACCTCTTGTATGTCCAGCTGTCTGACTGGCTAGATGATTACATGACTAGAAGAGCAACTGTTGCAATACTTTACTCTCTGTATGTCCAGCTGTCTTACTGGCTTAGATGATTACATGACTAGAAGGTAACATGACTTAATGATGACAAGGCATGACTTGTTGCTGGCATGGCATGACTAAATGACATGACCAGATGATTGCATGACTTGTTACTGGCATGACTAAATGACATCACCAGATGATGACATGACTTGTTGCTGGCGTGACTAATGACGACATGACCAAATGATGACATGACTTGTTGCTGACATGACTAAATGACATGATCTGATGATGACATGACTTGTTGCTGGCATTACTAAATCCACATGACCAGATAATGACATGACTTGTTGCTGGCATGACTAAATGACATCACCAGATGATGACATGACTTGTAGCTGGCATGACTAAATCCACATGACTAGATGATGACATGACTTGTTGCTGGCATGACTAAATGACATGACCAGATGATGACATGACTTGTAGCTGGCATGACTAAATCACATGACTAGATGATGACATGACTTTTAAGCTGGCATTACTAAATCACATGACCAGATGATGACATGACTTGTAGCTGGCATGACTAAATCCTATGACAAGACATTACTTGTAGCTGGTATGACTAAATGATGACATGAATAGTGATTACTTATATGATAATGGCCTGACTAGATTATGGCCTAACTAGATGATTCTAAAACTTTGACTGTGTTTAGTGTTGTTAGCTCAAACTAAAAGCTGATTGATTTGTTGCTAGGATATGGAACTAAGTACCTGCACTCTGAAGGAAGTTACCGGGTGAGGGACAAACCAAACCACACCCCGTGATGTTGCTGGGTCCAGGGAAATGATATCTGTTGGAGAACTACTTGACAATCATCAAGATGAGCTCACCAAGAAATACTGGAACAAAGCCTACAAGGCCTCCATGTTTGACCATTGTGTAAGTTGCATGATTATGTGTAGGCTGTTCCTGTGTTGATAGTTGCTAGATGGGGTTGTGTGGTTGTGTTGATATTTGCTAGATGGGGTTGTGTGGTTGTGTTGAAAGTTGCTAGATGGGGTTGTAACTTGTATGGTTGTGTTGATATTTGCTATATGGGGTTGTATGGTTGTGTTGATATTTGCTATATGGGGTTGTATGGTTGTGTTGATAGTTGCTAGATGGGGTTGTATGGTTGTGTTGATATTTGCTAGATGGGGTTGTATGGTTGTGTTGATATTTGCTATATGGGGTTGTATGGTTGTGTTGATATTTGCTAGATGGGGTTGTGTGTGTTTGTGTTGATATTTGCTAGATAGGGTGGTATGGTTGTGTTGATATTTGCTAGTTGGGGTTGTATGGTTGTGTTGATATTTGCTATATGGGGATTGTATGGTTGTGTTGATATTTGCTAGATGGGGTTGTATGGTTGTGTTGATATTTGCTAGATGGGGTTGTATGTTTGTGTTGATATTTGCTAGATGGGGTTGTATGGTTGTGTTGATATTTGCTAGATGGGGTTGTATGGTTGTGTTGATATTTGCTAGATGGGGTTGTATGGTTGTGTTGATAGTTGCTAGATGGGGTTGTATGGTTGTGTTGATATTTGCCATATGGGGTTGTATGGTCGTAGTTGATATTTGCTATATGGGGTTGTATGGTTGTGTTGATAGTTGCTAGATGGGGTTGTATGGTTGTGTTGATATTTGCTAGATGGGGTTGTATGGTTGTGTTGATAGTTGCTATATGGGGTTGTATGGTTGTGTTGATATTTGCTAGATGGGGTTGTGTGTTTGTGCTTGATATTTGCTAAGATAGGGTTGGTATGGTTGTGTTGATATTTGCTAGTTGGGGTTGTATGGTTGTGTTGATATTTGGCTATATAGGGTTGTATGGTTGTGTTGATATTTGCTAGATGGGGTTGTGTGTTTGTGTTGATATTTGCTAGATGGGGTTGTATGTTTGTGTTGATATTTGCTAGATGGGGTTGTATGGTTGTGTTGATATTTGCTAGATGGGGTTGTATGGTTGTGTTGATATTTGCTAGATGGGGTTGTATGGTTTGTGTTGATAGTTGCTAGATGGGGTTGTATGGTTGTGTTGATATTTGCTATATAGGGTTGTATGAATTCGCGGTTGATATTTGCTAGATGGGGTTGTATGGTTGTGTTGATAGTTGCTAGATGGGGTTGTATGGTTGTGTTGATAGTTGCTAGATGGGGTTGTATGGATTGTGTTGATATTTGCTAGATGAGGTTGTATGGTTGTGTTGATATTTTCTAGATGGGGTTGTATGATTGTGTTGATAGTTGCTAGATGGGGTTGTATGGTTGTGCTGATAGTTGCTAGATGTGGTGGTATGGTTGTGTTGATGTTTGCTAGATGGGGTTTTGTATTTTTGTTGATAGTTCCTAGATAGGAGATGTATCATGTTTCCAGAATGTGTTTTGTATGAGTGAGTGAGTGAGTTAAGTTTTACGCCACATTCGGTAATAATATTCCAGCTATATGGCGCAGTCTGTAAATAATCGAGTGAGGACAGATAATCCAGTGATCAACAACATGAGCATCGATCTGGCGTAATTGGGAACCTGTGACATGTGCCAACCAAGTCAGCGAGCCTGACCACCCGATCCCATTAGTTAGCCTCTTACAACAAGCATGGGTTACTGAAGGCCAATATTCTAACCTGGATCTTCACTGGTTGTTTTGTATGAAGTGATATATCATGTCTGTTACACTTGTATAGATACACCTGTAGACTTACACCTGAAGTCTTATGCCTGTATAGATACACCTGTAGTCTTACATCTGTATAGATACACCTGTAGACTTACACCTGTATAGATACACCTGTAGACTTACACCTGTATACAAAACACCTGTATAGATACACCTGTAGACTTACATCTGTATAGATACACCTGTAGTCTTATTCCTGTATAGATACACCTGTAGACTTACACCTGTATAGATACACCTGTAGACTTACACCTGTATACAAAACACCTGTATAGATACACCTGTAGACTTACATCTGTATAGATACACCTGTAGTCTTATTCCTGTATAGATATGCCTGTAGACTTACACCTGGATAGATACACCTGTAGTCTTATGCTTGTATAGATACACCTGTATCATGTTTCCAGAATGTGTTTTGTATGAGTGAGTGAGTGAGTTAAGTTTCACGCCACATTTGGTAATATTCCAGCTATATGGCGCAAGGTCTGTAAATAATCGAAAGAGGGACAGATAATCCAGTGATCAACAACATGAGCATCGATCTGCAATTGGGAACCTGTGACATGTGCCAACCAAGTCAGCGAGCCTGACCACCGATCCCGTTAGTCAAGTACCTCTTACAACAAGCATGGGTTACTGAAGGCCAATATTCTAACCTGGATCTTCACTGGTTGTTTTGTATGAAGTGATATATCATGTCTGTTACTGCGGTTCTGTTCCAGATTTCCAACCTTTCCCAGTGTCACCAGATCTGGTTTGAGGATCGCCCACAGTCTGAGGCTCAAGTACCAGTATGTCCATGATTTTGGCCTCAAAGGTAAAACAAACAATTCAAATGCAGATACACCTGTAGACTTACACCTGTATAGATACACCTGTAGACTTACACCTGTATAGATACTCCTGTTGACTCACACTTGTATAGATACACCTGTAGACTTACACCTGTAGTCTTATGCCTGTATAGATACACCAGTAGACTTACACTTGTATAGATACACCTGTAGACTTACACCTGAAGTCTTATGCCTGTATAGATACACCTGTAGACTTTACGCCTGTATAGATACACCTGTAGTCTTACATCTGTATAGATACACCTGTAGACTGTACACCTGTATAGATACACCTGTAGACTTTACACCTGTATAGATACACCTGTAGTCTTACACCTGTATAGATACACCTGTAGTCTTAGACATCTGTATAGATACACCTGTAGTCTTACACCTGTATAGATACACCTGTAGTCTTAGGACCTGTATAGATACACCTGTAGACTTACATTACCTGTATACTGTATTCGTAAGCACACCTGTAGTCTTACACCTGTATAGATACACCTGTTTACAGTCTTACACCTGTATACTTACACCTGTAGACTTACATCTGTATAGATACACCTGTAGTCTTACACCTGTATAGATACACCTGTAGTCTTACACCTGTATAGACATGCCTGTAGTCTTATTGACCTGTATAGATACACCTGTAGTCTTACATCTGTATAGATACACCTGTAGTCTTATACCTGTATATAGATACACCTATAGATTACACCTGTAGATACACCTGTAGTCTTACACCTGTATAGATTCACCTGTAGTCTTCTTATGCACCTGTATAGATACATTACCTGTAGTCTTATGCTTGTATAGATACACCTGTAGACTTACACCTGTATAGATACACCTGTAGTCTTACACACTGGATAGATACACCTGTAGTCTTATGCCCGTATAGATACACCTGTAGACTTACACCTGTATAGATACACCTGTAGTCTTACACCTGTATAGATACACCTGTAGTCTTATAATTGTATAGATACACCTGTAGACTTACACCTGTATAGATACACCTGTAGTCTTACACCTGTATAGACTTCATGTAGTCTTACACTTGTATAGATACACCTGTAGTCTTATGCCTGTATAGATACACCCTGTAGACTTACATCTGTATAGATACACCTGTAGTCTTACACCTGTATAGATACACCTGTAGTCTTATGCTGTAGTAGTATAGATACACCTGTAGACTTACACCTGTATAGATACACCTGTAGTATACTCTTAGTAATACCTGTATAGATACACCTGTAGACTTACACCTGTAGTGTTATACCTGTATAGATACACCTGTAGACTTACACCTGTAGTGTTATACCTGTATAGATGCACCTGTAGACTTATGCCTGTATAGATATGCCTGTAGACTGTATAGATACACCTGTAGACTTACACTGTATAGATACACCTGTGGTCTTATGCCTGTATAGATACACCTGTAGACTTACATCTGTATAGATACACCTGTAGTCTTATGCCTGTATAGATATGCCTGTAGACTTACACCTGGATAGATACACCTGTAGTCTTATGCCTGTATAGATATGCCTGTAGTCTTATGCCTGTATAGATATGCCTGTAGACTTACACCTGTAGTCTTTACACCTGGATAGATACACCAGTAGACTTACACCTGTAGTCTTATACCTGTATAGATACACCTGTAGACTTACACCTTACACCTGTATAGATGCCCCTGTAGTCTTTACACTGTATAGATACCTGTAGTCTTATGCCTGTATAGATACACCTGTAGACTACACCTGTAGATATACCTGTTACACCTGTAGATACACCTCAGTAGACTTACAATTCTGTAGTGCACCTGTAAACTTACACCTGTAGTGTTATACCTGTATAGATACACCTGTAGACTTACACTGTAGTGTTATACCTGTATAGATGCACCTGTAGACTTATGCCTGTATAGATATGCCTGTAGACTTACACCTGGATAGATACACCTGTGGTCTTATGCCTGTATAGATATGCCTGTAGACTTACATCTGTATAGATGCACCCTAGACTTATGCCTGCATAGATATGCCTGTAGACTTACACCTGGATAGATACACCTGTAGACTTGCATACACGCACGACGCGCGCATTACACACACACACACACAAAGTCTTTAGATTTGATTTAAAACAGCTAAATCTGGTTGTGTTCTGAGGTGAGATAGAAGATTGTTCCAGAGATGAGGGCCAGTCGTCTCGAGTGACCTGTCACCATATGTTTTGTCCTAGTCACAGGAATTGTCAAAAGACACTGGCCATTTGATTGGAGGGATGTACAGGAGTATAACGATGGAACAGATCACAGAGGAACTGAGGAGCTAGACCATGTATACTTTTTGAAAAACAAGGAGTAGAGTTTTTATTTTTATGCGGTAGTGGACGGGAAGCCAATGAAGTGAGTGAAGAACGGAGTAATGTGGTCTGATTTCTGTGACTGAGAGACCACTCTGGCTGCAGTATTCTGCACCTTCTGAAGCTTGTGTATGAGATAATTTGGGAGTCCCACAAGAAGAGCATCACGGTGGTCAAGACGAGATGTTACATATGCCTTAATAAGAGAGATGCTGTAGTCTTGGCGTCCAGGTATCGTCGAATCATGCCGATGTTGGGAATGTGGTAATATCGCCCTTCTACAGATGTTATTGATGTGTGACTCCATGGACAGTGAGGAATCAAAAATAACTCCCAAGTTTGGCACCTCATGGTTTGGCTGAATCTCACACTGACCGATGCTGAATTTAGGAAGCTTGAGATATTTGGTTGGAGGCGCTTAGGGTGGAAAACTATGAGTTCAGTTTTATCATCATTCAGTTTGAGGTAGTGTGACGACATCAAGATTTTGATGCAGCTGACACGCGTCTTCAATGGTGAGAAATGAAGACACAGCTGATGAGGAAAGTAAGGGTTTGACTGATATGTAAATTTGAGTGTCATCAGCATATAAATGCAGTCCAAGGATCTGACGATATATCACCTAGAGGAGAAGTATAAATAGTGAAAAGTAGAGGTCCAAGAACCGATCCCTGGGGCAACGCCGCACAAGCAAGATCCTTAGCACTGGAGATGTGACCATCAGTGATCACCGATTGATGTCTGTCTGCTATGTAGGACTCAAACCACTGAAGAGCAGTTCCTCTAATACCCATCCTGGTCTCAAGTGTATGCATCAGAATAGTATGGTCGGATAGTATCGAAGGCACTACTCAAATCAAGTAGAACCAATACTGCAGCACCATCTTTGTCTCGGGCTCTCAGTATGTCACTGTGCACTTTAACTAGTGCGGTTTCCATGAGTGGAAATTCCGGTATGCTGATTGCATGACTTGAAACACCCATTTAAGGTCATCTGTTCCTTTGAGTCTTGTTGTGACCACCGCGGCTCAATCAATTTTGAGGTGAAAGGTAAATTTGTGACTGGACGATAATTTTTAAGAGTTCTTCATCTAAATTTTTTCTTCTTCAGGAGTGGAGTTACAACTCCATTTTTCAATGTTTCCGGCATCATACCTTCCTGAAAAGATTTATTGACAACAGAGGTCAATATAGGGGCAAAAAGGTATCCAGAGAGTTCTTAGAGCCATGTAGGAATAGGGTCAAGAATACATGACTTTGTCGGTGACTTAGAAACAAGTTTCACAATCTCTGCTTCTGTTGCTGGTCTGAAATGGGATAGGCATGGAAATGCAGCTGCTGGTTAAGGGCTCACTGTGTGGAAGGTCATCATGTGATAGTGAGTCTCTGATTGTGGAAATCTTCTGAGAAAAAGAAGTCTGACAACTTGTCAACTAATTGATCAACGGGATGTATGAGAAGGAAGAGACAGGGAATTATCCTTAAAGAACAAATAAACTTTTGTTTTGTACTCTTTTAATTATTACATATGAAAGATGTGTGGTTAGTCTTATCACGGAACACAAATTCATTTCTTAAAAACTTGTGGTTAATTAATACCGAGGCGATTAAAAGTTGCCAAAAAGTAAGCCTGCTTCCTCTCGCCCTAGCGAAACCACAGACAGGTTCTACGATATCTCTGTAGTAGAAACACTACAGTGGCGTCATATGATGAGGCGATTTTCCAGTTAGTTGTATAACACAGTGTGTATACTATTTTCGTCATTTGATGATTTCGACATCCGCGAAGACATGCCCGAATCGTTGAGTTATGCGTCAATTGCTCTCTAGTGGTTGAGGCTGATGCGTGTCACCATGCACAATTTCCACAGGACCCGCGGATTCGTGCTAAATGGGTTATGTTTGTGAGTGCAAAGCGGCGTTGTAAGGAAGCCTGAAAGCGATATCTTACTTGTATTCAGATGCAACGCGGTTAAAAGAATCAAAACTTCTTACTAGTTGTAGTAACATATGTATATGATTGGTGACCATAAAGATTTTCCATGACACAGCGTGTAACATAGCGATTTCTTCCTCGAGGCGAGGGTTGTGATCGAAGTAACAATAATACTGTATTATATTGACACCCACCTAAGCTTCCCGCGAGGAGAAATTGTTGTGTTATAAGCTATGTCATACAAAATCTATTGGCTATCAATCAAATACATATTACAGCATACAGTAGAAAGTAGTTTTGATTTTATTTCAGTGAAAACAAACCTAAATAGCATTTATCCTCAGACTGGCGGATGAAAATCCTCGTAAAGAGAGGCGGGCTAAAGTCTGTTAGAATTAATGAGATTATGGTTTGTTTTCATCAAATTAGAAAATCAAAACTACTTTCTGCACAAATAGTTAAATATGTATTTGAATCATGACAAAAACTTTGCGCCGAGGCACAACTTACTCTTATAACAATTTCTTCCGCAGGCAGAAGAATGGGGTCAGTGACAATACTACTTGCTGATAAATTTCTTGCTACATTCAAGTGGTTAATGTCCACTCACCAGTGATATGTAGATACTAGTCAATGTAATCGTCTTTGCTGTTTGATGTTTTAATCCTAATTAGTTTAAAATCATTACTTTGCATGCATTTTGAAACTAAATAAAAAGCATCACGATCTGCTGATACTTATAGTGAATTTATAACTGGACTGCTTAATGTCTAGACATTTTATAGTTTGCCAATGTGAATCATAATTAGCACTTTACAACGCTAGTGTATGTTGTCTGTCTCATTACACTTCACAGTGAAAACAATGTGATTCTGTTGAATGCCTACGAAACAAATGAAAAACAACAAAATGCAAATATTAAAATTAAAACAGATTAAAGTGATAGGAACAATGTCAGGCTTGTTAGGGAATGTATCCTCAATATCCACAAAAGCAGTGAGATGACATTCATCTGCATCTGTTCAAATGATGTGTCATTTAACAGTCTAATATCTCAGAAAAAGTGATATATCGTTTCAGGTATTTCACATTGGTGTATAGTCGATGGTCACCCAATTGCAAGATAGCACACCTGGCAACTAATTGCTTGATATCCATGCATTCTTTAAAAAAAGTAATTTAGTTGTAATAATGAGCATTCATCTGCAGCTGTTCAAGTGATGTGTCATTTAACAGTCTAATATCACCGAAAAATGATATATCGTTTCAGGTATTTCACATTGGTGTATAGTCTCAATGGTCATCCAATTGCAAGATGGCGCTTTTGGCATCTAATTGCTTGATGTCCATAATTCTTTAAAAAAGTAATTTAGTTAGCCAATAATGAGCATTCAATCAATGTATTGGCAGTTAATCCTTTGAAAGAAGGGAGGGTTGTTTTCATGAACTTTGAACCGACAGAGTGTATTCAGTATAGATTAGTAAATCTACATACATAAACACTACCTTTGACAAATCCGCTGTGTAAGATAAAGTAATTAATCAATCAGCGTGTTATCAGTTAATCCTTTGATCCTGATGTTTATAATGTTGAGTATTTACTCGGACACAAGAAATGCCAAATGGGAACCTTTGTGGGTAATCTAAAATTTCTAATTGTTACCACTAATTATACCTGTTATAAATTCATTAACTGATATTATCAAGTGAATGATGACAAAATAACATGTGTAGGTATATACCACCTAACACGGATTTGAACAAGGGAAGTATTAATTGCTACTAAATGCATGCAATTGTAATTGCAATAATATGTAACTTATGGGCTGACACTGTTTTGAGAATCTGCATTGGAACTTCATTGTTGCATAAAATACATATAAGCATTTGCTGTGTGCTAAAATAGCTGTATGTACCTATTTACCTAAGTAAATTTTCAGATTCTTCTAGCAATGGCTAAGTAGGGTTGTTTAGAGTTCACGGTTTCAATGTCAGAGTTTTAATATCATCGTAATAGGCTTCATATTTTACATGACATGATTAAAATGCTCGAGGGTAAACAAAACCCACAGAAATTGGATCAATTTTGGATCAGTCATTATACCATCTAGGCATTAGAAATCCTGAAAAAGCCCACACTGTTTTTGATGCTTTAATACAATCAGACAAGAACTACCGGAGGATATTTTCAAGTAAGTTGCATCTGATGGGCATCCACCCTTCTTAATGTCGCACTGTTTAGGTTGATGAAGTTAATCGTAACCGCTATCACTAGCGTCTGGATTCAGAACAAATAAGGACTAAGCGACACCAAGCCATTTTGACAGAATCGTCTATGAAAACAAGTTGTAACTTCCGGCGAGCTTCGGCAAGGGCGGAGACAAAATTAAATGACAGTAGATTGTGAGAACATATAGCTTTCATTTTCACATCAGTTAATCACAATTTCAGGTTTATACAAACCTGTAAACAAGATAATTTACCCCCTGAAATGTACATGAATTCTGCATACGGCCCTCATATCTATTCCTCCTGTTAATCGTCACAGAGATCGCGCTCTGATTGGTTGAAATTTTTAGTTTAACAGTTGGTGAGAATTCTGCACTGTTGTCAAAAGGTCGATTTAAATTAATTTAAAGATCCGAAATGAGTAGTGTTTATGATGGGGTTTCATTTATGGCTTGATGCCAATTAGTGATTTATGTATTTGTACCTCCCTACAGTATATGTGATCTTAAAACAGAAGCCTGTTAGCTATCCTGAACCGTCCTTCTGTCCATCCATCCTGCAGTGCAGCTTTGTAATAGCTTGACTTGGACTGTCTCCATAAGAGAGTCAACATGATGTCTCTGGTTGTCATGCATCTGCTTATGAATGGCTAACTTGGGTATTGTCTAAACTGTTTCGAGTTTACGCCTCAGGCGTTTAGCCGATCAAATTTAGTCATTATACCAGGGTGATTCTGGATGAAGAGTTACAGTACAGGACTTCAATGGAGCATGATGGTCAACAAGTTTCCTGGGCTGAGTGTCATACAGAGTAACATATTCACTGGCGGAGGAATCTGAAGGAGAGAAATGGCTGAAGCTGCTACTCTTGAAGAAATGTCCTTCCCTTGCGAAATGGGGATTTTTCTTTCTGGTTGTCATATGTTGACTTACACCTGTGTAAAGATACACCTCTTGAAGATCAATGTCCTTCCACTTGCGAAATGAGATTTTCTTTCTGGTCTGTCTTTCAACCTGTAGAGGATGTTGACTTACACCTGTGTAAAGATACACCTGAAGAATTCAGCCTGTAGTCTGTCTGTTCAGATACACCTGTAGTCTTCAGTCTGTTCACACCTGTAGTCTTCAGTCTGTTGAGATACACCTGTAGTCTTCAGTCTGTTGAGATACACCTGTAGTCTTCAGTCTGTTGAGATACACCTGTAGTCTTCAGTCTGTTGAGATACACCTGTAGTCTTCAGTCTGTTGAGATACACCTGTAGTCTTCAGTCTGTTGAGATACACCTGTAGTCTTCAGTCTGTTGAGATACACCTGTAGTCTTCAGTCTGTTAGAGATAACAAAGTTTGTTCACACACTGTAGTCTTCAGTCTGTTGAGGATACACCTGTAGTCTTCAGTCTGTTGAGATACAGTCTTCAGTCTGTTCAGACACACCTGTAGTCTTCAGTTTGATAGAGATACACACCTGTAGTCTTCAGTCTGTTGAGATACACCTGTAGTCTTCAGTCTGTTGAGATACACCTGTAGTCTTCAGTCTGTTCAGATACACCTGTTAGTCTTCCTTTGTGAGTCACCTGTAGTCTTCAGTCTGTTGAAGATACACCTGTAGTCTTCAGTCTGTTGAGATTGCACCTGTAGTCTTCAGTCTGTTCAGATACACCTGTAGTCTTCAGTTTGTTCAGATACACCTGTAGTCTTCAGTCTGTTGAGATACACCTGTAGTCTTCAGTCTGTTGAGTCACCTGTGAGTCTTCAGTCCTGTTGAGATACACCTGTAGTCTTCAGTCTGTTGAGATACACCTGTAGTCTTCAAGTCTGTTCAAGATACACCTGTAGTCTTCAGTCTGTTGAGATACACCTGTAGTCTTCAGTCTGTTGAGATACACCTGTAGTCTTCAGTCTGTTCAGATACACCTGTAGTCTTCAGTCTGTTGAGATACACCTGTAGTCTTCAGTCTGTTGAGATACACCTGTAGTCTTCAGTCTGTTGAGATACACCTGTAGTAGTCTTCCAGTCTGTTGAGATACACCTGTAGTCTTCAGTCTGTTGAGATACACCTGTAGTCTTCAGTCTGTTGAGATACACCTGTAGTCTTCAGTCTGTTGAGATACACCTGTAGTCTTCCAGTCTGTTGAGATACACCTGTAGTCTTCAGTCTGTTCAGATACACCTGTAGTCTTCAGTTTGATGAGATACACCTGTAGTCTTCAGTCTGTTGAGATACACCTGTAGTCTTCAGTCTGTTGGGATACACCTGCCCAGTCTTCAGTCTGTTCAGATACACCTGTAGTCTTCAGTCTGTTCAGATGAGATACACCTGTAGTCTTCAGTCTGTTGAGATACACCTGTAGTCTTCAGTCTGTTGAGATACACCTGTAGTCTTCAGTCTGTTCAGATACACCTGTAGTCTTCAGTCTGTTCAGAGATACACCTGTAGTCTTCAGTCTGTTGAGATACACCTGTAGTCTTCAGTCTGTTCAGATACACCTGTAGTCTTCAGTCTGTTGAGATACACCTGTAGTCTTCAGTCTGTTGAGATACACCTGTAGTCTTCAGTCTGTTGAGATACACCTGTAGTCTTCAGTCTGTTGAAGAGATACACCTGTAGTCTTCAGTCATGTTCAGATACACCTGTAGTCTTCCAGTCTGTTCTGCATAGTCTTTAGTCTGTTGAGATACACCTGTGATCTTCAGTCTGTTAGAGATACCTGTAGTCTTCAGTCCTGTTCAAGATACACCATGATCTTCAGTCTGTTGAGATACACCTGTAGTCTTCAGTCTGTTTGGAATACACCTGTAGTCTTCCAGTCTGTTCCATGTCATGTCCTTCTGCTGCTTACATACACACCTGCAGTGGTCAACCAACTCTTTCAGGTATTGCCATTTACTTTGCTGAGGATCTGTCAAAGTCCCATACCCGACCAGCGTGGGATTTCACAGGGGGCATAATGTATGGAACACTAAGATTATACATGGAATCAGCACTGAACAACAGTGCAACAACTTATCCCCAGTAAAGTATCATCCTGTTAAAGTGAACCTTTATCCTGCCACCACCTGCTTGTAAGTGTACCTTTATCATCACACCATAGTGCTATAGGAGGAGTGTACCTTTATCCATAACTTCATGCTGGTAAAGTGTGTACCTTTATCATAACACCTGTGCTGGTAAGTGTACCTTTATCCTTAACACCATGCTGGTAAATGTACCTTTTATCCTTAACACCATGCTCCACAGTTTCCAATGCTAATAACCTCCCCAGTGAAGCATCATACTAGTAAGTGTACCCTTTATCCTGCCCACCATGCAAGTAAGTGTACCTTATCATCACCTATGATGGTAAGTGTACTATCACTATTTCATACTGATGTATACCTTATCATAACACCATACTACTTCGTGTACCTTTATCATAACCTACATACTAGTAGAACACCTTCTCCTACTTACCATACTGCTAAAGTGTACCTTTATCATCACCATGTAGTAAGTGTACCTTTATCTATTTTATCATGCTGGTAAGTGTACCTTTATCATAACACCTACCATGCTGCTAAGTGTACCTTTATCATAACTTACCATATAGTAAGTGTACCTTGTATCATAACACCATGCTAGTAAGTGCCTTTATCATAACCTACCATGTTGCTAAGGGTACAGCCTTTATCATCACACCATGCTACAGTAAGTGTACCTTTATCATAACACCATGCTGGTAAATTATTACCTTTATCATAACACCATGCTGCTAAGTGTACCTTTATCATCACACCTATGCTGGTAAGTGTACCTTTATCATATAACACCATGCTAGTAAGTGTACCTTTATCATAACACCATGCTGCTAAGGGTACCTTTATCATCACACCATGCTGGTAAGTGTACCTTTATCATAGCACCATGCTGGTAAGTGTACCTTTATCATAACACCATGCTGCTAAGTGTGTACCTTTATCATCACACTATGCTGCTAAGTGTACCTTCTATCATAACACCATGCTGGTAAGTGTACCTTTATCATAACACCATGCTGCTAAGTGTACTTTTATCATAACACTGGTAAGTGTGTGTAGCATCATAACAGTAAATGTGTGTATCTGCAAAATACAAATCACTTTTAAGTGTATCTTCAGTTTAACACCACGCTGGTAAGTGTAACTTCAGTCTAACACCATGTTGCTAAGTGTAAAATTGTTAAACACCACGTAGGTAAGAGTGTAAGCTTCAGTTTAACACGTGAGGTAAGTGTAACTTCAGTTTAACACCATGTTGGTAAGTGTAACTTCAGTTTAACAATCGCATGTTGGTAAGTGTAACTCGGTTAAACACCATGTTGGTACCCACCACATCCCCACTGCCGCCATATGTTCCAGATGTTGTGTCGCTGGTGTTGCTGTTGGCTGCCTGCTGTTGGTTGGTTGGTGCTTGGAGTGCTAGTTCGCGTGTCTGGGTCTGCGGAATCGGGTGAGGAAGACGCCTGGTGCTCCGCTCCGTGCGGCGAGACCACCAGGTGGAGTACCACGATGAAGATGACGACCTCAACTTGCCCAGATCATCTGCAGCTAGATCGCCATTCACCAACAAACAAATAATGTTCGCTTAGGTTGGTTAACTGGGTCCCCTGTACAAATGATTCAATGGTTAAACTGATTTCAAGACTTACTTCTTTGGACTTTAGCAGGACTGGGCTTGTGTACTTTTACTCGTCACATTAACACAACATAGAATTTTCATTTATTTTTGGAAATCCCAAGGAAAGTACATCTGTTACATGATAAAGTTGATGATTTTGTCCTGGGAAATGATTGTTTGTTCGAGGATATGGTATGACATTGATTCCAGTACTTAACATTTCACTGAACTTGGTTCAGCAACTGTTGGAAGCGGTTCCCACTGTGTGGAGATTACTTTGGCTTCAGTCAGAGCTGTTTAACCTGTGGACTTGTTTTATGTTTGTGCACAAGTATTATTTATTTTGCTCAGTTGAAAAATGTCTACAATTCTATGAAAGTAATAAGGAAGATCGAACAATTCCATTGAGTGCAAGAACGGTTAGTGTAGTTATATACAGTTGAGGTCTGAGGACGTTCTGTTTCTTCTTGAACTGGTGACACGGTTCTCAAAGCTTCATAAACGTCCCGACCCCAACTGTAACTACACTCAACTGTCTCTGCACTCAATGCAGAATTGTCTGATCTTCCTTATTACTTTCATAGAATTGTGACATTTTTCAACTGAGCAAAATAAATTAATAGCATGTGCACAAACATAAAAACCAAGTCCACAGGTTAAAACAGCTCTGACTGAAGCCAAAGTAATCTCCACAGTGTGGAACCGCCTCCAACAGTTGCTGAACCGGGGAGTTCAGTGAATGTTAAGTACTGAATCAATGTCACAAATACATCCTATCCCCGAACAAACAATCATTTCCAAGGACAAAATCAACCTTATCATGTAACAGATGTACCTTCCTTGATTTCCAAAAAAAATAATGCGAAAAATTCTATGTTGTGTTAATGTGACATTAAAAGTACACAAAGCCCAGTCCTGCTAAAGTGATAGAAGTCTTGAAATCAGTTAACCCATTGAATCATTTGCTAATAGGGGACTCGGTGCTCCAACCTAAGCTAACATTATTTGTTTGTTGTTGGTGAATCGGCTTACAGCTGCATGATGATCACAAGTTGAGGTCATCATCTCATCGTGGTACTCCACCTGGTGGTCTCGCTGACCATGCAGCACCAGGTGTCTTCCTCACCCAGATTCCGCAGACCCAGACACGTAAATGAACAGCACTCAAGCACCAACCCCAACAGCAGGCAGCCAACAGCAACATCAGCGACAACGTATGTTCATCTGGAACATATATCGGTGGAGTGAGGGATGTGTGAGGTACCAACATGGTGTTTAACCGGTTACACTTACCAACACATGGTGTTAAACTGAAGTCAACACTTACCAACATGGTGTTAAACTGAAGCTACGCCTTACCACGTGGGTGGTTAACTTAACCCGACGGTGTTAACACAATTTGTAGCAACATGGTGTTAGAACTGAAGTTACGCTTACCAACGTGGGTGTTAAACTGAAGATACACTTAAAAGTATTGTATTTTACTGAATGCTACACATCCAGTGTTATGATAAAAGCACACGTTAGCAGCATGGTGTTATGATAAAGGCACACTACCAGCATGGTGTTATGATAAAGGCACACTTACCAGCATGCATGGTGTTATGATAAAGGCACACTTACCAGCATGGTGTTATGATAAAGGTACACCAACCAGCATGGTGATGATGTAAAAGGTACACTTACCAGCATGGTGTGATGATAAAGGTACACTTACCAGCATGGTGTTATGATAAAGGTACACTTACCACCAGCATGGTGTTATGATAAAGGTACACTTACCAGCATGGTGTTATGATAAAGGTACACTTACCAGCATGGTGTGATGATAAAGGTACACTTACCAGCATGGTGTGATTGATAGGTACCCTTTAGCATGGTGTTATGATAAAGGCACTACCTTACCAGCATGGCGTTAAGGATAAAGATACACTTACAAGCATGGTGTTATGATAAAGGTACACTTAGCAGCATGGTGTTATGATAAAGGTACACTTACCAGCATGGTGTTATGATAAAGGTACACTTACCAGCATGGTGTGATGATAAAGGTACCCTTAGCAACATGGTGTTATGATAAAGGTACACTTACCAGCATGGTGTTATGATAAAGGTACACTTACCAGCATGGTGTTATGATAAAGGTACACTTAGCAGCATGGTGTTATGATAAAAGTACACTTACCATCATGGTGTGATGATAAAGGTACACTTACCAGCATGGTGTTATGATAAAGGTACACTTACCAGGATGATACTTCACTGGGGAGGTTGTTACATTGGTGTCTGTGGAGCATGGTGTTATGATAAAGGTACACTTACCAGCATGGTGTTATGACAAAGGTACACTTACCAGCATGGTGTTATGATAAAGGTACACTTAGCACTATGGTGTTATGATAAAGGTACACTTACAAGCATGGTGTTATGATAAAGGTTCACTTACCAGCATGGTGTGATGATAAAGGTACACTTACAAGCATGGTGTTATGATAAAGGTACACTTACAAGCATGGTGTTATGATAAAGGTTCACTTACCAGGATGATACTTCACTGGGGGAGGTTGTTGCACTGTTGTCTGTTGGCGATTCCATGCAGCACCCAGTTCCACATGCCCCGAAGAAATCCCACGTTGGTCAGGTATGGGACTTTGACAGATCCTCAAAGACTGAAGACTACAAGCAAAGTAAATAGCAATACCTGAAAGAGTTGGTTGACCACTGCAGGTGTATGTAAGCAGCAGAAGGACATGACATGTATCTGAACAGACTGAAGACTACAGGTGTATCTCAACAGACTGAAGACTACAGGTGTATCTGAACAGACTGAAGACTACAGGTGTATCTGAACAGACTGAAGACTACAGGTGTATCTGAACAGACTGAAGACTACAGGTGTATCTCACCAGACTGAAGACTACAGGTGTATCTGAACAGACTGAAGACTACAGGTGTATCTGAACAGACTGAAGACTACAGGTGTATCTCACCAGACTGAAGACTACAGGTGTATCTTACTACGGGGGTATCTGTACAGGCTGTACGATTAATTTTCAGGTGTATCTTTACACAGGTGTAAGTCAACATCTCAGTTGAAAGACAGACCAGAAAGAAAATCTCATTTCGCAAGTGGAAGGACATTGATCTTCAAGAGTTTCAGCTAGATATGACAACAGCTATTTCTAGCTCTTCAGATCTCTCCAACAGTGAATATGTTACTCTGTATGACACTCCAGCTCAGGAAACTTGCTGACCATCATGCTCCATTGAAGTCCTGTACTGTAACTC